GCTGAGATTCAGTTTCCTCATCTCCAAAATGGCCTAGCACATAGATTTACTGAGGATTAATTTACTGAGATAATAAAATGAGATGATACTTAGTTAAAAGAAGAAGATAAAGGAGCTAAATTCTAGGAGCCAAGGAATCTCAGTCAAGGGGAAAGAAGGCTAGACTAAGAAGATGTATTTGAGGCTAATAAGAAAAGTGCTGGTTCAAATGTATTCCTAGGACTACACCACCCAAAATGCCAACATACAGATAACTGCTTCTTTTATATATTCAGATAGGGAGTTGATCCCACAGAAAAACTTGCTTCTATTTACATTAGATGAAAATGGGGGAAAATATTCTTTTTTTGAAACATATTATACATGAATTCTATTAGGAATTATTTCAATGCAGTTCAACAGAAACTTCTTGAAAACACCTCCTAGGTATGTACTCCTCAATGGCAGAGACCATATCTTCTTCATCCATGTATCTCAAATATTTAGCCAATGCCAGGGACATAAGTGCTCAGTAAGTACTGCTGGAAAAAAGAATGTGTATCTACCATAATACAGACTATCTGTTCTTAATTCAAAGGAGAAGAATTCTGAAAAAAAAGAAGCATATTTTTATGATTTCTTTTTTGCTTACAGCCTAAAAAAAACCTCATATATTCCTATCTTGAAAACTGAACCAGCTTAGTTATTCATTTTTGTAACCATACTGAATCTCATCATCTCCGCGCGTTAAAGTTAAAACGGTTATATGTTATTTTACTTACCCACAGTTTCTATATGCTTTTGGAGCCAAGGAAGTTGCATTCCTGTACCGGAGAGCTCACAGGTTTCCTGCCGGTCATCCTCTGTTACAGACTTTATCAATTCTTCACTGAAATCACTCATACCTATTCCAAACTGAGAATATCAATTACTCTCTGTACATCTTAATCCACAGGCTTCTGAGTTCTACAGGAAAAAAAAACCATCTTTTTACCTAATAAATATCATTTGATTAACAAAATTAACTGTACCTAGTAGTTCCCTCGAAGAAAAAAACCAATTTAATTATGTCAGCTACAGCCAAAAATAATGATCCATTCAA